GGCTAGCCACGCCTCAGACCCATGTCCTTTTCTTCTTCCCCAGAGTTAGACATTTGTCGGCCTCTTTTGCAGCTGGGCATGGCAAAGAACAAGGCTCTGGCCAATAAAATGTGAGCCCTGCCTGGGGAAACCTCTCAGAGCACAATGCTTCATGCTCTTTCCTTTTATGCAGGTTTAATGCAGATAAACAGCTAAACATCAAGGCTGTATGTTAAGCCGGTTGGTCCAAAAGAAAACAGGAGCCCAACTTCTCAAACTTTTAGAACACCAGTTATGTGAGTGAAAAACAGATCTCTACTGTGTTGACACTGAAGCTATGGGATAGGTTTGTTATATTAGCTGGCATTGCCTTGACTGATACGTAAGTTTGCACAGTAAATAAGGAAGTGAGGATACATCACATAGCCCATGCTTTAAGAATTTCTGGGAGTTTCAAGGGTTTATCTGCTATGCTCTAGAAATTATGCACAATGTTTTAATTCTATTTCACAGAAGATTCTTTTTCCAGACCCTTTTCAGGGGTTTTCCCTACTTAAAAAGACCCATTTATAGAAGCCACTACTTAGCATTTCTGGAACTTGTTATCCTATTCAGCAGTGTCTAAGTCAGGAGGCTTTGAACTTGGACAATTACTGCTCTTGATTAACAACAAGAACTGATGAGTTGGCCTTTCCAGTGTGCTAAGCAAACTCAGCCAAGCAGAAAATATCACTGGAGGGGAAACAACGGGAAGTGATTTTCTTGGTTACATTACAGCCGTTGCGATATTTACACATGTTTGTGGATAATGTGGGAACGTCTGCCATTGGGTGTGACACGCCGCGTTTCCCACCTGACCTGGGCTCTGACTGCAGGGAACCGGCCTTGGGGGAAAACCGCAGTCCTGGGAGCAGCTAGGCCTGGGCATGGGAGCGCCACCCAGCACCTTCTAAGTCCTATTCCTCTAGGTGACCTTGGCCTCACATTGCAAGACAGTCAGTAGCAGCATATACTAAATTTTATTATGTGTTTGAACTCAGATTGTTACTGGTCTTGATTAATTTTTATATATTTGTGATCTCTGCATATCTTTATCCATTTCTCCATTGAAGGCGGATATATCTATATCTATATCTATATATAGAGATATGTATCTGGGAATCACTTTTCATATAATTGCATATATAATTTTTGTATATTTAGGGCATTACACCTTTTCATATTTCTTAGGTGTATTTTTCCAAGTCGTCTTCATATTTTGTTAATTTTTTTCTTAGATGAATAAAAGTTAAAACACCAGCTAAAATATGTCCATCTTTTCCTCTGAAATTTTACATCTTTTTAAACCTACAAAATCACATTCCACGTTGAGATCTGAAGTACATAATTATCTATAATCCTACTAGTTTTATTTTACAAATTTAAAAATAGTTTTTTGCTCTACTGAGAATTTATGTAAATTCTGAGGGAAAGACCTCCCTACACTGAGGAATTGAAAAGCCTCTGGTGTGGCCAGAGAGGGACTGATAATGCTCCCAGCTAGAGGTGGCACTCATTGGACAGGTGCAGGCAGGGTTGGCAGGTGAAGGCAGACCCAGGCCGGACTTGGATCTAGGGGTCTCTACTCTGGGGTAGTATAACAGACTAAATAGTATTATTCCAAAATTCACATATTGGAACCCCAGTCCTCAGCACCTGAGAAGGTAACTGTATTTGGAGATTGGTTCTTTGAGGTAAAATGAGGTTGTTGGAGTGAGCCTTAAGCCAGCACAGCTCGTGCCCCTATACGAAGAGAGCGGGCCACGACTTGTGGAGGAAGATCAGAGGGAAGACAGAGAGAAGGCAGCCCTCAGCAGGCAAAAAGAGAGGCCTCAGAAAAAAGCCAACCCTGCTGACACCTTGACCTTGGACTTCTAACTTCCAGACCTGTGAGAAAACAAATTTCTGTTGCTTAAGCCATCCAGGATGTGGTCCTATGCTTAGTAATTTAAAAATCCAACCCAGGAAGGTTCTTTGTTGAATACCCTCAGGCTCCCATCATAGTCTGCTTGTGGGACCAAACCAAGGTAGTTATGCTAATTTTTAAAACTTTAAAATTATTACATACACTAGAGAAAAATCAGAACATAAAGATAAATAAAAAGTAAGATCATCTGGGCCATTAGTTCCCCTAGAGATCCAAAATTGCAGTGGCTGTGTTTCTTGTCTTGGAGACCTCCCAACAAGGTCTCAAGGGGCTGGCTACCCCTTCCCTCGTGCTCAGAGGGCCACATGTCTCCCGCAAACAGGGCTGTTGAAGCAGTGGACTGAGGAGGCCACAGCAGTGCTTAGTTGGCCAGAAGAATCTCCTTACCCACATCACCACACAGCTGGCCATGAGTTTGAAGTTTGTCAGGTCTGCGGGGCTGGAAACCCATCTGCGCCCACCCCATGGGGAGTAGAGACCCCTCTGTAGCCTCCTGTGGAAGGACTTCAACCTGTACTGGCCACCTCTTCCTCCTCTCTGAGCAACCCTACCTGCTGGGAAATGACGAGACCAGGCCAGCTCTTCCATTTGATGCATTCTCCAGGTTATCCCTCACTCTGGGCTTGAGGAAAGGACACCAAGGTGCCTGGGTAGCTCAGAGATAGACAGTCGAGTGTCTCCTCCCAACACACACACATGTACATGTTCTTCTTGCTTTGTGCGTACTGTTACCTCTGCCTGGAAGGCCTTTCCTCAACACTTTAAAATTTCTTATTGAAATCCTGCTCCCCTTTCATGGCTCAGCTCAAAAGCCACTTCTTCTAGGAAGCCTTGCTTGACTGCCTCTTACCCAACTGAACTAAATAACTCCTCAGGGTCTACACTTTCTTAGCTGCACTATGTGCAGGTCACACTGGTCACAGGACACCTAGAGTTAAAATATGCACATCCTCTGCCCCAAGACAGCAAGCTCCTGGTTCATTTCTGCATTCTACCTTTTCCCTGCACCTAGCTCAGAGGAAGTTCTGATTCAAATTTAACTTTTGGATATAAAATCATGACTTCTTTACAACAAGAGATATCATGGCAAAATTCACATTTGTCATTCGGAAAAACTTGTACACAGTGCATAACACTTTCCTCACAACATGGAGGGAAATGTTATGAGGTTTGTAAACATTATGTAGGGGCAGAAATCAAGGCTTCTTGAAGTTAAGAGACTGCTTACAACATCAAATTGACCTTCAAGAGCTGGAGCCAAGACTCACAGCCAGGGCCCTTGGAAGCTTTGTCACAGGCCTGGTGGCAGCCCTGGCCCCCATGGGGGTCCCCCTATACCTAGCACCTGTTGCAGGGGCTGGCTCCAGAGAGGATCTGAAGAATGAAGGGATTGGAGGCTAACATCTCACACCGCAGAGTTCAGTGTCCCCTTCTGACCCTCTGTGACTGTTGCTTAGTGCAGAGGGGCTGCCAGAGGCTGCCTGAGTGCTCAGGGATGACACTTCCATGCCCTCTTGCCCTTACTCCACTCTGCTGTCACATAGGACTGCACCTGCCTTGGTCACCAGATTAGGTGCCCTATTTCTGAGGAGGACAGGTGTGAGATTTCTGTCCCCAGAACACCAGGAACAAAAGCCATGGTGCCAGGGACTGAAGTTCTGCCTTGCTTCACCAGTTCACAAAGGTTTGGGGTCCAATTTCAGTTCTAAATAGCTGCTTCTCTTTGAAGTTTGTACTCTAAGAGCACTGAGAAGAAAGAAGGGCCCAAGCTCTGTCATGGTTCTCTTGCTTTCCTCTGTCCCCCAGGGATCATCGTCATCACCATCCATTGCAGAAATGAATGGAGGCCATGCAGCCTGCTTTATTAAATATGAATGAGTCGCAGTCCACGGCCCCCACGTGGTCACTTGCCCACTCCATCTCTGGCAATTACTGAGTTGCACACACTGTGCCAAGGGGCACTGTGGTCCCTGCCTGCCCTTGCAGACTGACATTGCCCTGCAGGGGCAGGGCTCAGGTCTGCAGTATCCCTGCCCCCTAATGAAAAGTCATCTCTGGGCTCCCAACCAGGCAAAACATTCAATACCAGAAGCTTAGGGGTAGGGCATCTCCCACAGAAGGACTGCAGCTCTTAGGCTCTGAGGTCTGGCCAGACATAGCCTGTGCGATGCAGCCTGAAGGCACACCTCCTAGAGCGAGTGGTTTCTCAAGTCTGCCTGTATTCAGACATTTCAGTTTCTAGAAGGTTCAGCCTGAACAAAGTTAAAAGCCTAGATGCAGGCACACACCATTTCCTAGGCAAGTTACAGGAGCAATCTCAAGTCTCACAACACTCACTAGAGAGTTGCCTGATAACAGGGTTCTTGTTCACCCTGTGGACTGCTGTTAATCCCAGTGCCGGGGACACACTACATGCTCAATCAGTTTGGTGAACAGATGTATGAAGTGGGTATTACCATTCTGGATCTAAAAACATTGAGGTGAGGGGACCTGTGAACTCTGCCCCTCCTGCCCCTCTGCCCATGCCAGAGTCCAGCGCTGCAGCACATCATTCTGGATGCACAGATTTGTTCTCACCTTGATTTAATTAGGAGCCATCAAATTCCCCACAACTCCACGTGGTTTAGTCTTACTTGTCAAAGACCACTCATGAACGAACAAAAGCGAAACAGATCAAATTCTTTTTCTGAACTTAAAAAATTACTTTTATTTTAGGAACCAATAAAATTATGGCAAATATTTACAAATAATTATCTCACATAAAGGTTACATAAAATCAATTCTTCACAAGTTAACAGTCACTCATGAAAAGACACACAGATATTGAAACTACTCCAATCTTATTGCATTTTTATCCAACTAATCTAAAATAAAGGTGTTGCAGCCAACCATTTAACTTAAAATAAGACCACAAATTTCAGGTTTGACAAGAAAAAAAAGTTTAAAAAATTAAGCCCATACCCCACCCCAGTGACCTCCCAGGCCCACCCCCAGCCCCTGCCTTCCTCCCAACAAAAGAAAAATATGTCCAACATCTTTGGCAAATTGGCACAGCTGTAATTACATTCAAATAGTATTACACACAAAATCAACACACATCACTAAGAAAAAAAAAACAAAAACAAAAACCACCAGTATTTCAAGTCAGTTATTTTCTACTAGAAAAAAAGAATACAAAACATACACATTTTTAAGAAGCATTTTTTCCCATCTGTTGGAGACAGGCCATCTCCCACTTTCAAAGGCAATTCAATTGTGTGTGGTTTTTTTTTGTTGTTGTTAGTTTTTGTACTTTTTTTTTTTTTTTTTTTAACAAGTAAGCGTCTATGCAGGCATCACAAACTTTGGCGGATACAGTAGATATGTATTTCTTTGATGCTGGAAATTCAGTTCCTAAGACAAAATCAACTGCCTGAAAGAATGAAAAGCAAAATCCATGTTTTCCTAGCAGAGAGTTCCATTTGCAATATAATCTGCATTTCTACAAATACTCAATGTCCAAAGGCCACTAAAGGGTGAAAAACCAGGGCAGCAACTTCCAGCAGGCATCAGGGCCAAACCAGACTCAGAATTCCATCCTCAGCCCAAACTGGGGTCCCCAGCGGCTAGGCTGGAGAAGTGGGGCCCCACAAATGCCAGGCCATCACTGCCTGCGACCCCACACTGTGCTGGTGGTTCAGGGCCAGGGGCCGGGTCTGCCTCTTCCTGAGCCCTAGGACAGGCTGCTGCCAGATACGCTCGCTTTCTGTGACCAAAGGTAAGGACAGCAGGCAAGAGTTGGCATGAGGAGACTCAGCACTTTTTCTGAGTTTTAAGTAATCCCAAAGTGTAGGAGGGTGTGTGCCCTGTGCACACCTTCATGTGCACGCATTGTGAAGGTGAAGGCCAGGTTCTGAGGCTCTGAGCTTTGCAGGGTGTTTAAGATAGGCTTGAGATTTATTTATTTTCTTTTTAGCTTTATAGCAATTAATTGGCTATTGATTGGTTGGAATGTTCAACTCTCCATTTCCTCAAATACAATAAAATAGTTTCATTAAAATGTATTCATGCTTGAAAATAAGGGAGTCATTAAATGGTTTCCTTTCTGTTCCACTCCAAGGGAAATGCACCGTTTGTAAATCAAAAATCTATCATCCAAAATCACTTGTTCTTAATGGTGCTTTTGGAGAAGATGAGGGACATGGCCACAGACATAGCGATCTGGGGAACAAGGGAGGCACAGTAGCCACAGACTCAGGGTCGGTAGACCCAGGTTGGGGTAGGTGAGGCTAGTGTGGCTTCCCCCAGCCAGGCCTAAGAGCCAGGGAGGGGGACACACAACTGCCAAGACCCCTCCCCTTTGTTTCACCAACTGCCAAGACCCCTCCACTTTGTTTCTCCCTGTACCATGCTTAGAGCCTCCCTGTGTCCCCTGCCACAGGCCAAGGGCATTGCCTGAGCCCAGTTCCACTTGGGAATCCATAAAGAGAAAGGCAGCCATATTTTCTCCTTGGGCTGCTCAGGAGGAATAAGAATGTCTAGATTTACTGCAGGGTGGCTATGTTTACCTTCCACTTGGCAATGAGCTAAATGGGACTCCCTGGATGGAAACTCTCAAACAGATGGCAATAACATGATTCTCAGGTCCCTTACAATCCTTGGGGTCTGGAAATAGGGTCCAAGTGCCAAGGAAATACCAGAGAATGAAAAGAAAGAGTGATGTCTGCCTATTCCCAACCATCAGCCCATTTGAGATGCTGCAGCTTCTTCAGGTGCGTATGAGCAAGGGGCTCACTGTGTCCTCTGCAGCCTGCCCCTGGGGATCCAGTTGCCACCTGAGGTGCAGCTGGATCTGACAGCAGGGAAGTGTGGATCAACACTGTGGCTTCCTCATGAATATGCAAGAGGGAATCCTGAGGTCTAGGGACAATAGGGGCCAAGGGGGCTGAAGGGGCTGCCAGGAGGTGGGGCAGGCTGCAGGCTAGGAGTCATGGCCTGACTGTCCAACTTTCCAATCATGTATTTTGTTACCTTTTAAGAAATGCACTTGTCTTGGACCTCTCTGAGGCCAAAGAACTAAAGGAATAAATTCATCCGGAGCACTAGTGTGTGTTCCTGGAAACCATCAGAGGCAGGCTCCAGTAGGGTGATAAGGCCAGGGCCTCAGAGCCAGCATCTTGGCAGGGCTCTGTGGAGCTGGTCTAGCCCAGGGGTTGACTCACTCTAGCCTGGGCCTGGCTTATCCAGAGGCCTGGGGTTTTCCCCACCCTGCTGGGATGATGTATCTCAGACAGCTTCTTTCCAGGTATGTCTGGAGTGTTTGGTTTGTTTTTAGGATTTGCTCCCCATGGCTTGAAACTCAATTCTAGTAGCTAAAATGTCATTCACAAAGGGATGGCTAGAGCCAGGGCTGCCAAAGGCAAGCCAGTCACTCTGAAGTATGACTCCTCATAAAGGGATTTCACCCCAGTGCCGAGGCCACACAAAATCTGGGGCTTTTGGGAAAGGGCTCTAGCAGTACTTACTTACCTTAAAAGCCAGTAGCTACCCCCAACCCACCACCTCTGTGTTCTACTCTGTCCCTTAAAGCCAGAACATTTTGTAGGAGCCCAGGAGGCCTGGAAGGATGGCAGGGCTTGGATTTGCCTGTCCTTCCTGGACAACCTGAAGCATCTCACCTTCCTAGGGGCCCATCTCCCCCAAATGTTCAATGAAGAACAAGGAGATATCCACAGTGATAGTGGGGGTATCACAAACTGGTGGCCAGCAGGTCAGATGTGGCCAGTAGACGTACTTTCTTTTTGGCTGAATCGATTTTTAAAGTTTTCACACTTGTGGGTCTCAGGCCGCACCATGCCACACTGGCTCAAGCCCTGCCCAGGGGCAGGCAGGCAGCCAGCTGCCTGGCTGGGGAGCAGTTAAGTCAGGGCCCTTGAAGTTGTGATGTCTGTTTTCTGGGCCTGGCTCAGGCACTCCTATATATTGTGAGAGTCTGTTCCAAAGTGAAAAGGGCAGAGAAAAGAGGAGTAAGGGGACAGCTCATGGTACTGGCACTCTGAACTCTGGGAGCCAGAGACAGGCTATGTCCAGGTCCTGCCAGGGGCCATGGTTTCAATTTGGACAGGCTCTGACTCCCTCTCAGCTTCAAGATGCAGGAGAAAGGGACTCTGGATGAAAGCTTTGAGTGCCGGTGGGAATTTGAGCAAAGTCTGCCGGTCTCAGTGTTAATGCGATTCAAGCTGGACCAGCAGGGCCACCACCCCTCTGGCCCTACCATAAAGCCAGCCTCTTTTCTCATTGTGAGTCTAGGGATTTCTGGAGGACTGACAGGCAGGTGTCTCCAAGCCATACACGCTCATGACAGGAACACAGGGGCAGAGGGGCAGTACAGAACTGAGCCCGGAGACCTGAGAATTCACTTCATCTCTATCTTATCTGGTAAACCTCAAATTTCCTCGTTTGTAAAATGGGCATTGTGATCTTTGCCCCATAAGTTGGTGGAGGACTGCAAAGCCCTATTCAATGTCAGTTATGAAAGTGCTAACCCCAACCATGGTGCCTTGGGGACGGGATGGTGGGTTTTATATGTCTTCAAATTTTTTCCAAATGATATGAAAATATCCTTTTTCAAAAAGTCAGAGCTGGAACACAGGGCTGAAGGCTGGTGGACAAATGCCCCCAGGCCTCCCACCATGCTGGTGAAGTCCCAGACTCCGGCTTTCCATTCAGAATTCTATGGCATCTACTCAACGCCTTGTGTCCTTTGGAAATCTCCGCACCAAGCCCCCAGGCTGCTCTGAGAGCAGATGTGCATGTGTGAGAACATCCATGTGCATCTGTGTAATCTTGTGCTTCACATGTTTGTCTAAGAAATATAAATCCCATCTGAGGACAAGCAAGCCTCAGGTAAGAGAGGAGAAGCATGAAGGGAGTTCATTATGGGGTGAAATCAGGGATAGGATAGGGAGAAGCCAGCGTGGGGTGGGACTTGCTGAGGGAGGACGGTGTGTGCCTCAGGCAGCTGGCTCAAGGGAGGCTGGCTTCCTCCTAACAGCCTGAGCACACAGTGAGAAGCCAGAATCCAAAGATGTGGGTGCACTTCATCCCCAGACAGGGATGGCAGGGGACAGAGGCCCCAAAACCTGTGCTGAAATCCTCAGTCCCACCACATCTTGTGACAGACAGGAAGGTAGGAACCAAGGAACATCCTTCTCCTACCTTACCTGGCAGGTAGAGGCTGGAGCCAGGTTATCTCAGCAGCCATGGTGGGCTCTGGCCCCGTATACCACCCTTCTTTGCCTAGCGGAGTCCATAGGAGTGGCACACGTGCCATAACCTCACTGGCTTCACTTCTGGCCTGGGTGACTGGGACAACCTGCCAGTTCTCACAGCCCTGGGCACCCAGGCTGCAACACTGGGGCCAGAACCCCCCCACTGCCCTCACTGTCAACTCCTCTCCCAGCAGAAGGAGACGTGTAGATGGGGGTGATGCGGATCACTATGTGTTAGGAGGCGGGGGCTCAAGTCGCAGCTCATCCCTGTGAGGGGACTCCGCTTTGCTGATACTCGGTATCTTCTGCCCCTCTACCCTGTGGGGATGTTGAGGGCCAAAAACACTTAAAGGTGACCAGAAGAGGCCTGCTTTCTCCCCAAGATGGGTCTTAATTTCCTCTAGGGGAGCTGGACTAGGTCTTTGCCCAAGGTGCTTCTGATTCCCACCTCTCAAGGTATTCTTGTTTCTTGCTTGAGCCAAACATTAGCAGGTCTCGGGTGCCCACTCTAAATGCTTGTTCAGAAGTAGAAAGCCTTCCCCAAGTTACCCTGTCATAGACCAGCTCTCTGGGAAGAAGAGAAGGAAAAAGCGGTCTGGTGATCCCGCTGTATCAAAGTAGCTGAGACAAAGACTTAAGGGTCTTGTCTGAGATCTACAGTAAAGCAGAGGTACAGCCAGGACAAAAACTGCCAGGCCTGACGATCCCAAGGTCAGGCTCTTTCTACCCTAGTTCTCTGCCAGACACCACGGACACTGTCATATGAGATGACCAAGCCTGCCGTCATTGCTTTGACTCAGCCCCGGTTCGGATGGGGGCTCCATCTGGTTGTTCCGATTTGGCAAGAGAGACCCTGTAGGGGACTGAGACCCCAGGTAGAAAGATGGTGGCACCTGGCACCCCATCTCAAAACCACTCCCAGGTCACACACCAGTTTTGCATTGCTTGTTCTGCCCCTCCCTAGGAGGCCTTCTCAGCTGGCTTCCTCAGACCAACCTAGCCCACACTGAGTCCCTCCACACTCCCTCTCTGAGCTCCTGACCATCCCAGGTATCAATAGGTGAATCTGCACTGTGTGAAGTTAAGCAAGTGTTCCCAACCCCAGCACCTCTGTGCCCAGCCACAGGCCCAACTCTGTGAGGATGGAGAGGGCTACCCCAAGAGGAAGCTCAGGAGTTTTAGCTGACCGATGTAGGATGCTGTGGTCCTCGATACAGGGGAAAGTCCATTTTGCTAGTCATTGTCTATATCGCTGGGACAGATTTGCTCAGAATCTACTTTCTGGGGTCTTGGAGGGTGGGTGAGATGTCCATGGTGGATTTCCCAAATGATATGAACCTGGACATGCATCTGAAAACATTCCAGTTCAGTTCAGTGGTTCCAGGGGCTGAAGGGTTCAGGAGAGCTCAGGCTCCTCCCTGGCCTGGATCAGATGATCTTCTGATCCTACTCAGCTATGACATTCAAAGTCCACAATGCAATCAACACTTGGATGATTTCTTACTTTAGAACAGCAGCTGAAGAATCTCCCAGGCAGTTCTCTTTTGAGTCCTCTGATCTGGAAAAAAAAAGCTGTTCACACTGCAGTGGCCACAAGGAAACAGAGATAAGAAGCCAGGGCATCTCCCCAAAGTGCTTTCTTCCTGGAGGAGTCTCAGGGGCAGCTCACAGCACAACCTGCCCAATGAGACTCCCAGTCAAGATGTCAGAGCAGTAGGGTTGAGCAGGAGCCTGGGGTCCAGGTGTGGGCATCCTCGATCTCAAGGACAGCTTTGAGCTCATGTGACGGGGACACCCAGGGCAGAGGGGAAATTCTTCACACAGGTGTCCTGTGATGCACTGTGAGTGTAAGATGCATTGTGGGGTGGGCAATCTGCTAAGTCAGACTTTCAGGCCCACAGACCAGCAGGAAAGTATTTACACGGGTGCTGCTGAAGTAACAAAAGCTGGCTCTCCTTCCCAAGCTGCATGGCCAAGAGGCACAGGTAGTCAGACAGTGGGGTCTGGCAGGCTGTGCCAGGCTGCAGTGGTCTGCAGAGCATTCTGTTGGTTTGCAGAGACCCTGTCACCACTGTTGTCGATTGACTCTTGAAATGGACAAGGGTCCATCAGTCAACAGCCCTACCAGGGAACCTGCATCCCTGGCAGGAAAGGGGGAAGGAGTTTCAGGTGAGTGAAGGAGTTGCTGGGGGACGGTCTTGTTGAACACCCCCATGGCCGTCTTGGGGGTGCTGGGAGGCTATCTCCCTTAATGATATGTGTCATAAGTGCTTGGCGCCTGCCTGGCTCCAAGGGTCAGTGACGGTCATAGGCAGTGGCAGCTGCAGGTGGGGCAGCTCCTCGGGCAGCGGCGCTGTAATAGTAGGGGGAGCCTGGAAGAGATGAGAGAAGGCATTGAGCTTGGACCTGGGGTTCCCTGTCCACCAATCTTCCTACCTATGTCCCTTCTGCCTCTCACCCAGCTCAGCCTCTGTCCCCTTCCACCAAAATCAGTATCCTGATCTGTTCCCCAAGCTGAAAATCCAATCAAGGCTGCTGCCTGCTCTCAAGATTTCAAGTCTCCTTGCTACCTACCACTGGGCTCAGCAGACTAGGGCCCTCAGGGCCAAACTGCCCAGTGGCCTGTGACGTTTTACGGGAACGCGGTCTTACCCATTCCTTGTCCTACTGGCTGTGTCTGCTTTTCTGCTACCATGGCAGAACTGAGCACTTGCAATAGAGATCCTGTGGTTCACAGAGCCTAAATTATTTATTACCCAGCCCCTCCTTTAAAAAAAAAAAAGTGTGCTGGCCCTTGATCTAGAAGGTCAAGAGCGTTCAGATGTTCGTTCAGCTTGCAGATGCTTTGTGCCTTATTTTCTGTCAGCCTCTTTTGACTCCCCTCCCACAATACCCCTTCCACTCATGCTTACATACCCTGCCCAAGTGCAACTGAACTCTGCAGTAATCTCAAATACACTATAATGTTAACAGCAACTGCTCCTGGCTCAGCATATCCTCTACACCTGACTTTATGTTCTCTATAGACATGGTCTCACTTAAACCAAGGGAGCAGGCATAGTTAACCGATCTAACTCTTGGGCTTCTCTGCCTCTTCCTACCCAGCTTCCTGCCTGGAATAGCTGCCTGTGCTCCCACCACCTTTTTCCTGTGTATTACTCTTCTACGCCTTCTTCAAGCCTCAAAGCGCCCTTCTCTTTCTCTGGGAAGCCCCCTGCCCTGCTCGGTACATCTGACAGGCTGGGCCATGTTCCTTCCACATGTCCCATCCCTGGACATACAGAGAGAAAAGGTAAGGCTGGGTTCTACTCTCCTTGGTGTCCATCCTCAGTGAACAGCCTGGAGCCTGGCTCTGCTCAACTGGGGTTTCGGTGTGAATGAACAACCTTACCGAGCAAGAAAAAAAAATAGTGAAGTACCTTCTTGGCCACCTTGCCCATTCATCCATTCATTCAATAATTTATTCACTGCTCATTTCCTGATCCTGTTGGGTTCAGGGTTGGGCAATCGTGGGCAAAAACTGGCCTGACCAGGTGAAGGCTGACTTCAGGATCAGGAAGGGGAGCTGAACTCTGAGAAATAACTCTTGGGGACACAGCCTGCTCTGGCAAGTCACCTTCCTGAAGGAAGTGGGGTTACACAGGCAGCTGGGGTATATGTGTTTGTGTTTTGAGACAGAGTCTCATTATGGAGTTGAGACTGACCTGGAACTCACTATGTGGCCCAGGGTGGTCTTGAACTCACAGTGATCCTCCTGCCTCAGCCACCCGAGTGCTGGGTTTACAGGCGTGTGCCACCATGCCCGGCTTCTGGGGGTATATGTGTATGAGAGAGAGGGGCAGGTGCCACCCACTGGAAATCTGTTTGCATTTGTTTTATGGATTCCATTTGTTTCCTACATTGGGATTCCATCTTGTTCCTTAGTCCCTCCATTTTTTTTTTTTTTTTTTGGTTTTTTGTGACAGGGTCTCATATGTAGTTGAGATTAACCTGGAACTCACTATGTAGTCCAGGCTGGTCTCGAACTCACAGGGTTCCTCCTGCCTCTGCCTCCTGAGTGCTGGGATTACAGGTGTGTACCACCATGCCTGGCAGCCTCTTCTTGTGACCTGGGGACAGAGTGGTGGGACAGCCCCCACAGCATGCTGGGTTTCTCACTGCCTCTGGGCTGCTTTCTTTGACACTGTCTGCATGTGGCTTCCCAAAGCCCTGCTCTGCACTACGATTCCTCCCCAGGGATGGGGGGAACTGGGGGACCTAGGGAACAGGTAGATTCTCAGAACCACAGAGGTTGGAGCCACTAGGTAAGGAAAGTGAGGTTCAAAGCCACAGAGCCTGGCCAGTGCCTGGCCCAGAATACTGGTTGTCTGCTGCCAGCTCCAGACTCTTTCTACCACTACGCAGCGCAAGGTAGAGCTGGACTGGAGGGATGCAGGTATTTAAGCAGGTGGTAGCTGGGGCCTTGTCAGCTCATGGTAGACTGTAGGTCTGCTGGGGTCTTAATTCCCAGATGAAGTGACTCCTGTTTATTCTGAAATCTCACGCAAATCCCACCAATCCTAGCTGTTCTCCCAGTTCCCATAACAGGCAATTGAGACTTGGAGTTGGCCAATCAGCCACTTTACGGCTGTGACTTCGTACATATGACTCCACTCCTCTGAGCCTCAGTTTTCTCGTCTGTAGCAGGGGATCACAGTAGGGCCACTGAGAGGACACCATGAAATAAGGATGTGAAAATGCTGTGGGTATGGTCACTTTTCTAAACACTTTATATCCATCAACTCTTTTAAAATTTCACTATAATTTTTCAGGTAGGACCCATTATTACCCCCATTTTATGGATGAGAAAAATGAGGTAGAGAAGTTAAATAATCTTCCCAAAGCTGTGCAGCTAGTATGTGATCGTGCAGGATGGATTTGAGAGGCTATTTTAACGTGTGCTGCCTCCCCCTTAAACTGGGCCCCCACTAGCTGACTCCCCTGCCCACTGGCCTGGCAGTGTGGCCTCAGGAAGCAGTGACAGTGGTAAAGTCATTCTGAAAGGCAGGGACACCAATCCCCTGCATAAGAATTCCCAGAGATGGAGTTTCCCACTGTCTTCCTTGTCACCTCCCTGGCTGGAGCCCTACTTCAGAGACAGCCAGCTGTCAGCCCTCTGCTTCCTTCTGTGGGATGAGATTGCCAGGACAGCTGCTCACAGAGTAGCTTTGCCCAGCTCTGCATCCTGCCTAAGGACAGCCCAGGGGAGAGGGGCATGAGTGAGGGGCCACCCCCACCGGCCGAGGCACAGCATCGAGGCAGGAAGACCACAGAGGCCACCCTGAAGAGGGGCTACAGGGGTGGCAGGGAATGGGAAGGCTGCTCTCCAAGCCCCACCCAGCCACCTCCGGCGTCAGCTCTGGTTCACTCCTCCCAGAGCTGGGCCTCAGTCGAGAGTTTGCATTTACCGTGAAAAATGAAAACATCACAAAGCACTCTGTATTCTTGGTGCCATTAGACTTCCATCTTGAATAATCGTGTTCTTTGTTCTGTCAGTTTTCCTCTCTAATTCACATTATCATCAATTTACTTCTTGACACAGTCATTCTGGGCTGGTTCCTTCTCTCATCCCCTTACATGGTGGTGGAGGTAGTGGCCACAGGCGCTCCCATTCTAATCTTAACGGATGCCACCACCCTTTCTCCTCCCAGCCCTGCCTGCTTCCCCAGCCTCTGCTGTTCTCGCCTGCAAGCCTGGAGGTTTGAAACAGCACAGGATGCTGAGCCCCAGTCGCCCCAGCTGGACACAATGTGAGGAGGGAAGCTGTCTTGTGAAACCCACATGAAACATGTCCTTCACTTTCGTTCAGTGGCACTGCTGGTCAGCCAGGGAGGTGTGAGCAGCATGTGCCAGGTTAAATGCCAGTGTGTGAGTATGCGCACACGGGTGTGTGTATGTGTATGTGCATGTGTGTGTGTGACCACAGTCCCACTGAGCCAGCAGGAGCATCCTGGAGCCCAGGGCAGGTGCCACACATGTACCCCTTCCCGCACTGCAGACATTGACAGCTTGGGGCCTGCTGGATAGAATCCCCTTGATATTCACACAGCCAAACCCTCACAGACACCACGGCAAGGGCACTATGGCAATGGGCTTGGAGCTATCTGCAAGGCTCTGGTCTGATGAACCAAGCAAGTGGGTTCACTGTGGATTCAGGGCCTGCACTCCAAGATCATGACACTCAGTACCCACTTGAAAGGCTGCCACAGCAACTACCCCCATTTTACACCTAAGCCAACCAAAGACCAGACTGGCCTGACTAGGATTCCCTGGGTCATAGATTTGGGCAGCTCTGGGACCATTTCTCATGTTTGTAGCTGACCCACACCATTTATACTCCTCCCATGTCTGTGATTTCCTGACGTAGGAAATGGTCTGAGCCCATCCTCCCAGCTTCTCTTGCTGCTAGGGCCCAGCTGTGTTACATGGGCTCTGCCCATTAAATTGTCATGAATGGGGCCAGGGATTTGGCTCAGTGGTTCCACAGCCTGACTCACAAGCTCAAGGACCAGAGTTCAATCCCCGGTACCAAAAAACAAAAACAAACAAACAACAAACAAAAAACCCCACAACAACAACAACAACAAAATTGTCTCGAATGAACTTGACTGGGATGGGAGCAACTCGAGGAAGTGGGATGGAGGACTCCATTGTGGGGAGGGAATGGCAAAAGCCCCCATGTTTGGGTGGTGCAGGGCAGAGCACCCTGGGAAAAGCCACAGCATAGAGCAAATAGCTGCGGGGTGCCAGCTGGCAGCACGGGAACATCTGCACTGGAGTAGCCTGGGTGGCATGGCTGGGTGTGTTTCAGGCCACGGGTCCCATGCCTCTGTGGTCTTCCTGGAGATTCTGGGCGTCCTTCATACCCCTTAATAAATGTGTTTTCTGCTTAAACCAGCCAGAGTGGACTCTGTTGTTTACAAATGAGAGTCTGGCATACATCATTAACCTGGGTTTCAAAAATAGAACGGCTGTCCTCATCACACATAAGCTTGAGTGTTGAGGCATCTCAGGCCTGATTCTACAGCAACCTGAGGCCCCTTTCTCAGCGATAAGCACTGCTCAGACTGAATCAGTCAGGAGGAGTAAGCGAACATGTCATACACTGACTGTGAATATAGGCTTGGAGTCAAGTTGGGTCCTCACTCTGCCACTTGCTGGCTGTGCAACCTCAGGTGACTTAATTAACCCTTTGAGCCTCATTCTCATCTGTATGAGAAATTGATATGCGATCCATGAAGTTGTTAAAAGGATAAAGTGAGACAACCCACGTGGAGGGGTTTGTCCCCTTGTGCCCAATACAATTACAATTAGCACACGCTCACTTCGATGAACAGAGTTTTATTTGCCATCCTTCTCACACTGCCTCTGGCCTTCAGAACAGCCCTGAGCACCTCCTAGCAAAGACAAACCTACTCAACATTCCCTCACTTCTAGCCTCTGAGTTCTCTGGGACAGAGCCTGCATCTTCCTCACACTGGGCACATAGGCCAACCCTCTCACAACCTGGACTTCTCTCCAGCGTAAGCAGCAAAAGCCTCAGATGTGGGGCAGCCAAGAGTCCCCATCACCTTGCACACTCAGCCTAGTGCTCAAGGTTCCCCCGCATCTGTGCCCACTACACTGACCACCCCACCTCCTATCCCATTCCTTTGCTGCCCTTACCTGAGCAGCTTTATCTCCTCTTCTTTGCCTCTTAAACTGCCAAGCAAAGAAATGAAGGCCATGCCAACTTACAGGATACCTTATGAAAATCACCAAAGGTGCCCCTTCTTAGCAGGGCTTCATGCCATAGATGGGGTGGATTTCCGTCCCCACTCAGCCCCCTGAGCAGTGTACAGTCAGTCATACATGGAAGCTCTGGGCCAATGTGGCTTCCTCAGGGTCACCTCCCATCAGAAAGATGCACACCAACCGGGTGATGCCCACCCTTCCTTTGAGCCACATCACCTGTGGGTCTCCCAGAAGCACAGCTCTGTCTTGGGGACATTTCCAGTGAGGGACTCCTGGGCTTGGCCCTCATGAGCCATCTCCTCACACCCACCGTTACTGGAAAACACTGACTGGTTCACTGGATTACAGTGCCTGAGACTAAGAGCTGAGTCAACTCAGAGTCCTAACATTTAAGGAAAAACATTAGGTAGGTGGAGATCCTGGTTCAACACTTAGATTGAAATGATTTTGACCAAACCAAAACAGAAGTCTGGGAAGAGATCAATGGACAGATTCAAGCCCTCTGGGAAACTATAGACATCTTCCAGAAGGCTGGAAAACTCCCTTGCACAGGGACCTGGAGCACTAATTAGCAATGTTCCTTATTTCATCCACAGCTATGCAGAACACACCAAAATGCTCTGGGCAGCCTATGACTCCAAGTACATGGAACAGTGGTCGCAAGAGAGAGGTAGTGTGCATATCATGTGTCTGTCCTAGTCACCAACCAAGGTTTGGGAAGGGGTCAAGGCTGAGACTTGATGACCTCTCCACACACCTTAAGTGTGAAGACATCAGATTATTGTTTTTCTGATGAAGACTATGTTTCTCAGTCCTAAAATAACTAAGGATCCAAGGAATTAAAAGGCTTTTACACAAAGAGGCCTTATTAAACTGAGCAGACAAACCAGAGTGGCCTCAGAGGGCTCTTCCACATCTGACCCTTCACTGTTCCAGGTGAAAATTCTTAGCTGATACTAGGGGAGGCATCAGTGTTGCTGCCTGCAGGCTGATTGGGTGGCTCCATGCCCCAGATGCAAGTGACTCAGGGCCTCTGCCGTAAGGTCCTTTAGCCCCCGCCAGCCCTCACCAGCTCATTTCATGTAATTTTATGTCAACAAAGCAAGAGGCTCTTCTTGGACTTTTGAGGGCTAAATTAGTCCTGCTTGGTCTTTAGGGGGCAAAAATACATTAATGATGTTCACAGATCAGGTTGGCACCAGCTATAGACAATCTGTCAATTCAAGGCTTGGGCAGAGGCGGGACACCAGCTGAGCCCTGTGTGGCCAGCCTTGGCAGGCCTTTAGCCACAAGGCAGCCGTGGAGCTGGCACTGGTGGCATCCATGGCAGATATCACTAATCAAACACTGGGCCTCAGAGTCCTTAACAAGACAGCTCTCAAGGCAGCCCCCACCACTTAATCCAAGTTGGTGCCTTTACTGCCTTCATTTAGAGAATTCTCACCATATTTCATGGCTCTTAAAAGAATATGTTACACACGAGTGGACATTTTTTCTACCCTCCTCTTTCTCCCTCCATGCCTTTTCTCCCCTTTCACTGTTCTATGATATTTTCTCTGGTCCACCATAATATCTGAGAGAGATGAAGAGACAAGCGGGGGGCTGGAGTTGTTATGGCCCTGAGATCCCTATGGCCACCCCACCTCAGTGACTGGACCTCAGGTTGCTGAGGGGCTCTGGCCCAATGAGAAAGCCTGGATGAGGTTTCCCTCAGCCTAGGAACCCACAGGCCTCTGCCAATACTCACCAAGCAGCCCTGGGTTGGGGAACCTCCAGGAGTCATTGTATGAAGAATACTGAGGGTGGCTGTAGGGACTTCCAGAAAACTCACTCCCTGCAGGTGACAGGTGCAGAGAAAAACAGAAACCAAATGTTAGATCAAGTTCAGAAAAGACCCTGTGTCCCAGCCAGCCTGAGTGCTGATGGTATTTGCCTCCTTCATGAGCTGAAGGCACTTTTTATAACCAATAAAGATCATGTCAGAGCCACATCCTCACTAAGCAAGCAGCTGCCCCTGGCATTACCTATGTCTTTCTAAAGCCTTCTGAACCCAGGGGAGTGAAGCCAGTCTCTCATATGGGCACCATCACTATGTGCCAGGTGTTCCCGGGCACCACTAGCTCACTTTACAGGTAAAGAGACTAATGTCCACGGTCTCACACAATGGCCCTGGTATACCTGCCCAAGTCCAAAGCCACAGACTGCTAGGATCTTAGTATGGGTTCAGTTCTACTCCCCACTACATGACCTCAGCTCTAGACTGTCTGCCTGTGAATCCAGGGGTGACTGTGTCTGCAGCCTCAGTCTAGTCAGGGAAATAAGACAAATACCCAGGCTGTCTACCTTGAGGATGCAGCTGCCACTGGCACATTGCTGAGACGAAGGGACCAGGGAATAGGAGAGAGGGTGGGCTGGGCAATTGTTAGATGTTCTGGGCATCCTCAGGCAGAGACTGTGAAGTATTTCAGGGTGAGGGCAGAACAGGGGGTGGGAGCATGGCAGATCCACTGGGCCAGTGGCTCAAGGAGAAATAGGCTTACTTTGGTTCTTCCTTGGGCCAGGCAGCAACACCAGGAAAGCCTCTTTACTGCCGGCCAGATCAGAGGGGCAAACCTCAAATTCTATCTCCCACACTCTTGCTGCCTTGCTCTTATAGCAGGCATGGCCTGCCTGTCTCTCTGATGGCTGGGGTCTCCCCAGCCCTGACTCCTCACTGGGTACCCTGGTGGCTGGCAGAGGGTGTTTCCAGCAGAGGATGTGGAGCAGGGCATGGAGACTCAGCTGCTGAGCAGTTTGCTTCAGCTGCTAGGTACAGAGCATGTGGGCTTGCCCCTGTTGGAGATGACAGGAGTTACACAGCCCTATGAGACCACCTCCAGCCAAACCATGACTCCATGATCTCCCAAGGGTGCTTATAAAAGGCAAGGGCCAGTCAGAACTCAGGACCCAAAGCAACGCTCTCTCCCTGTGGCCTAAACCCAAATGTGGGGCCCATGGGGCTTGGCCAGGTGGAGTCTGAGCTGTGAGGCAGGGGCCCCAGCCACTGGGCCCAGCTGGCCTCCCCCCACATCCATAGGCAGGCAACCACAGAGAGTGTACACACACACACACACACACACACAAACGCACATGCCTCATCGGGCCTCTCTGGGGGCCACTCCCAGCCTGACAGGCTGAGCCTTCCAATTCTCTGTTTTTTATGCCTCAGTGGTCAGGGTGTCAGGTTCCAGTGGAGGGAGGGAGAGCACAGTGACAGTGCTGGGCTGCACCAGCCCAGCCTTGGCATATCCATCAGCACCAAGGCGCCTCCTCCTCCTCCTTCTCTTGCTCCTCCTCTTCTTCCTCCTCCTCCTCCTCCTCCTCCTCTTCTTCCTCCTCCTCCTCTTCTTCTTCCTCCTCCTCCTCCTTCCCCTCATGGGCAAGATAAGGGGAACAGAGAGACAGAGCAGCCTGGAGAAGGGGGACAGCCGCCTCCCCTCCAGGCTCTGGCACCCATGCCCTCTCACAGGTACTCCCTGACACTGCCATGCTGGGCCAGGGCCATCTCAGCATGGATTCTGTGCCCAAGCCCAGCTCCCAGCACACTAAGTACAGTCTCAGGTGCACTTGTTTGAATTACATGTGTGCGTGTTATCCATCCCCAAAATGGCAGTGGCCACTGGAGGCCCACATAGGGTCATAAGCAATTTCCAGCTTCTCTAGAGAACATGCCTGAGTCAGCATCTCCACCCTCTTCCCCCCACGCTCACTGACCCGACCTTACAGCATTGAGCATAAAGGCCCTCAGGTACCTCTTTTTTCGGGGACCCTTCTCATTCACCTCCTCAAGCAGATTTAGTCTCCAGCATTATCCCCAGGGAGGGATCTGCCCTGCCCTAAAGAGGGAGTCCCTGCGGCATGGGCGTTTCTGGCCCCGCGGGTCCTCTGTGTGTCTCCCCCTTGACCCTAGCTTAATGCCCTGTCCCCAACAAAGAGTTGGTGTTCGGTAGATCATTGACAGTTCTTCTGGGTCCCCATGGTTTTCTCTTCATCTCATTCTAGGCTTCATTCAGGAGAGGCCCTCGCCGATAAGCCTTCCATGACCATCCGCCCCTCTTTCCTGCTTTATTTTTCTCCATGACTGTATCATACTCCAACCTGTCTTATTAATCATACTCATCTTGTTAATTATCTGCCTCTTCCACTAGGCTGTGAGCTCCTTGAAGGCAAAGTATTTTCCCTTTTCATGTCTCTATTCCAACTTCCAGCACAAGGTTTGGCGTCCAGCAGGATTGGATAACTATTTGTCAAATGAATAAATGATGGGAACTCCTAAGTCAAGCAGGGACACTCTACCAGGACAGGCCCCTCTAACTCAGATCATGGCTCCTACTACTTCCATTATTAGTCTCCATAGCCAGGAACTAAATGCGTACCTGCCATGTGCCAAGATTAAATCAATTTCTCTGATCCCATTTCTCACTCAGTAGAGGAAATGAACCCATAAGGAGCTCAGCCCCTGCCTGGTGTGCTAAGAATTGTGATGTAGTGATCACCTTCAGTCCAGGGCTCCTGTCCTGTGAGATGCCCCATGAGAGTGACACACTTCATGTAAGAGGCCCTTGACCTTCTTCAGGACAGGAGGTTACACCTAGGGACTAGTCTTATTGAGGACTGGGGAGGGGAGCTGTTATCTGAAGTGTCACATATGAAGCTTTTTGCGTGTAGGGAGCTTTTACCCCATGAGATATGGGGAGTCCAAGTTCTCTGTCACCAATGTCACCAAGCACTGTTCATAAAGTAGGACTTGTCAGGCCACAAAGCTGGCTGGGAAGCAGCAGACTTCCAGGTTCAAACCCACATGCTGCCACTGGGCCTAAGTCAGTTTGTCACAGAGGTTGAGAGCAAGAGGTCTGGAGACAAAATGCATGGGTTCAAACCCTGAGTCTGCCTCTTCCCAGCTCTGTGACTCTCAACAGGTCACTAAACCTCTCCATGCCTCAGCTTTCTTCTCTATAAAGTAGGAACAATTAATAGATGGCAAAGGCCATGTGGTTGTTGGGTGCTCACATGAACAGATACAAAGAACCCACTCAGCAAATACCCGTCAGGATGACAATGATCCTGTGCCAGTCACCATGCCCTCCTTGGCATTCAAAATTTCAGTTAACACCCCCTGAGAATCTGTGAGGCTCACAAGATGAGTACAATTGTCTGCATTTTATGTGAAAAAATGGAGGCTCAAGTCTGGCCAGGGGATGACTCCAAAGCCAGGCTCCTGTCTTCCAGACTACTTTCCTGACCTGGGCCTCTGTTTTCCCATTTTTAAAGGCTCTTCTTGGCTTCTGATCCTGATTCTACTCAGCAACCATAGAGCTGCCCCTCCAGGGTCCCTCCCAGGCGCTCTGGTCCCTTCACCTAGCCCTAGGTCACTTGGGGGGGGGCTCCAGTCCTTTGCTTCATTTCTCTGCCTGAAGTCACCCCCAACCTCACATCTGAGGGGAACTTACTTTCTTTACTGGAACCTCAGAAAGGTAATTAAGGTTAAATGAGATGGGACTCTAACAGATGGGACCATGGCTTTACAGGGAGAGAACGAGAGGCCTGAACTAAGATGTTCTGTCTCATCACATGATTTCCTTTATTGCTTTGGGACTCAGCAGAGAGTCCCTGCTGGTGAGAAGGGCCTCACCAGATGCAGGTGCCAAATCTTGAACTTCCTCACCTTCACAACTGTGACCTAAATCAACTTTTATTCTCTACGAATTATACAGCTTGAGGTATTCAGTCATAGCAAGAGAAAATGGACTAAGACAGGCACCTACACCATAGTATTGGTGGGAGGTAAATGACTAATGTCACCAAAAGAACAAAACCACCTTCTTTCCATGCCAAGGAAACCACAGAGCTGAGGAGAAAGGGAAGAGGAAAGAAGCTCTTCTAAAATAGAATCTTGTTCCAAAAGGAATTTTACAGCTTTCATTGAGTTCTGGGCTGTGCAAAAGGAAGCTGAGATTAGGGCTTAGGGGTAAAAATAGAGAGAGCTAAGCACCATGCATAAGAAAATGGAAGAAGTGGGATGTGATGGAGCGCAGCTGTAACTCAACACTCTGGAAGGCTGGAGCAGGAGGATCCCGAGTTTGAGACCATCCTGGTCAACTCAGCAACTGAGCAAGACCTTGACTCAAAATAAAAAAATATAAAAAAGGGCTGGAAATGCAACTCAATTCAAGGGCCCTGGGTTCAATCCATTGAGAGAGAGAGAGAGAGAGAGAGAGAGAGAGAGAGAGAGAGAGAGAGAGGGGGCGGGGGGTGTGTGGGGTGGGTGGAAAAGGG